GTGGGAGTAGGTCCTCTCAGTCCCCAGGCAATGCCTGCCTTCTGGCAAGTTAGGGAAACATGGGACTAATTTAAAGAGCTAGGACTCCCTAATAATCTGGATTCAAGTCCTACCTCTACCACTTCCTATTAAAATGATGTCAGATATATATAATGCTGCTATAACAAAAATACTCCACGAGAGTGGTGTTAACAAGCAAATTCATTATTCTCACAGTAAAAAAATTAACAAACTCTTTGCTGTTGGGTCAGAATTAGCTCATACCTGACTTCCCAGATGTTTCCAAGACTAAATTTTGAAGGAGGAGATTGCTCATATTTCTCCCCAAGAGGCAGGTGGACTTGAACTTGTAGAGAGAAGGCCTTTGGGTTAGCAGGGAAATTTGCTATGGACTGTGCCACCAGGGCTCTCTGTAGAGGGACTACAAGTCCAAAGCCAGTGCTGGCTCCAGAGAAGGGCATTTTCTCTGTGTTGACTCTGGGGAGAGATCCTTGCAGAGCAAGCATTCATCTCCCCTCATGCTGGTCTTTGTTCATTCTCCCACTCTGGTCTTTTGTATTTCAAAAGAGATTGGTTTAGATCTCTCCCTACACTACTACTGCCATTTACATCAAGAAAACCTATTCCCAAATGAGAGTCTAGCCACTGGTGTAGGAGTTAAAACCCACAACACTTTTTTGGGGGGGAAGGGGGGCAGGGAACAAAATTCAATCCATAATTGTAGACAATGAGTTAACGTTTCCTCCTTGGGAAACTACAGAATGGAGTTTGCCGCTTTGGCATTTAGCCCTTGGCCTGGCATTGCTCCTCACGGTATGTTATACTGTGCAGGTTTGGGGGTCCGAGCAGGGCCAGGGGGGACGGGCCCTTCACTGCACACCTTCTCTCCAGACTTGTCCTGAAGGGGCAGCAGAGGGATGCCTGCCCCGTGTCCTCTCGTGCTCCAAACGATGAATTGTTTTCTGTGAGCATGGGCTTTTTTGTGTCTGGCAGATTGAAACCTGTGAGGAACAGTTGGCTAATAGTGGTGTCCGCTAGTGAACGACATGATAACATTTTCATTCCAGCTACAGACCTAAAGACAACTTAGAAGAAAATCTCCAAAACTCAGCCTTTGAGAAACCTTGCTGGGCACAGCTCTACTCCAGCACACCTCTGGAGTCAGAGTCCACAAGAAGGTAACTGGTAGCTAATAATATTGTTGGACTTTCTGACTGATTAGCAAATTACTGCACTGCCCAGCAGGAGCCCCCTCTGGTGGGAAGTCTGCGCCCCAGCAGCGTGGGGCTTGTTTCTGTAAGAGGCGGCTGCACAGAGCTCTGGTGCGGGGCAAGGTGGCTGGGACCGCTCCCGCTTCGTGGTGAGCACTGTGGACTTTGTATGGTTTTTTCTTGAAAACCTGTTTTTAGACACAGTATAGTGTCAATTTTAGCAGAAATCGAAACGAAATAAGAGCATCAAAGGTAGTCTGATTTGGTAAAACCTATGCCTCTGGACGAGGAATGATGGAATTGTAACGTAGGTGCAGTGAGGCCAAGGACCCGGCCCAGAAGGAGCCCTGAGTCCCCCAGCTCCACCCTGCACGCGGCAAAGGGAACCAACCATCCCATCCAAGGTAGGACAGAAGTGCTTTTCGTTTTAATCTCTATTTACCTTTTAAAAATTGTTTTTAACCACATTATGGACACATTTTCATTTTTAAAATGATTAAAAAATAATAACTATGCCCCTATGTGCCCTCCTAAAGATCCCTGGGTAGCCAACGTGATTCAGACTAAGGCCACAAGGAGACTACAGCCAAGAAAACAAATGCTTTGAAATCAGTTCTACTGCACAAGGCAGGGGTCAGCAAGACTCAGAATAACTCCAAGGGCAAAGGCTTTGTGGATTTTGTTGTTGTTATTATGTGCCTGGAACACTGGGTGTCTCATTTGTTTCTATGTATGTCCTAGTTGTATGGTCTCCCTCTGTCTGTGTTGTTTGTATCAATACTTTTAAGACAAAACGAAATCATACCGAATGTATTTTGGGAGAGATCACTAGGTAAGGAGTGGAGTATGATTAGTTTAAAATTAATGCTCAACATTTGCAGGGTAAGGGCAGCAGGCACCACTTTTCCAGAGCTCCTCCCTCTACAGTGCATGGTTTCCTAAGCCTGAATCTAAGGCCTGAGATCCTCACCCATTGTGAGAACACGGGGCTGTCCTCCGCATTTCCCAGCTGTGTGCTGCTGATGTTCCCTCACTGGTTCTTGGTTTTGTGATCTGCAAAAGATGATGGGTTAAGAGTAACTCACCAAAGAAAGTCCCTCATAGCTGACTAACATTAGGTTTCAGAGCTGTTAAGTTGCACAGGAGGGGATTGTTCGTGTTTCTTCAGTGAAACTGCTGGTGAATTAAAGCCGCCAGGAGGGCTCAGCCTTGGAGTTGGCAGTGCCACCCTATTTACCCACCCTAATAAGCCCACCACTGCACCACCAAGAGTCCCTTCATCTGAAGACTGGGGAATTGCCTCACCTAGGTGCAAATGGCATTCGCTGTCAGACCTCAGGCTGGGTTCTAGGTTGGTCTGTCTCATCTTAGAGATTGAGGGGCACCTGCCCAGAGCTCTCGGGTTCACTCATTGACCCCTGCTAAGTACCAGGCACCACTGTTGGTGCTAGGCATTAAATGGAGAGCAAAGATGGGCAGGGCACAGTGCCACTGGAGCTCACAGTAACTCAGTTCCCTTAAATCAATGCTTTCGCTTCATTTCACATCTAGAAAAAAACTGAGAATGGTGATGCATGTTAGCCCAGGGTCTTCGGGAGGCCCCACAACAGTTATTCGGTCACTGCTCCCCATTTGTGAGGCCTTGGCTAGAGGTCCAGGGAGACCCTGCAGCCTCCTGAAAGGAGGATGGAAAGTTGTATAAGGTGGGGTGGGAGAAATTAATCACTGTAGCTACATAGAGGTGAAAAATTCGAATGAAGGTGAGAGAATCTTAATGAAGAAATGAAAATACTTTCTGATAGATGTCCACAATCGTTAATTACCCTGGTTGCTAGGGCTGCAGGCATCCTGGGGGCACCCAGAACTACTTGAATGTCGACCTGTAGGCACTTCGAACCTCAGTTTGCACATCCTAGAGATTTATCACTCCTGAGATCAAGTTTAAGAGACCAAAGAGAGCATGTACTGGCTCTCACAGTAAAGGCTCACAGGTCTGGGAGAGGAGACCGAAGTTTAGGTCTGAACTGAGCTAAGCCTCCTTCCTTCCTCAAGAGCCTCTCAGAGGAGCTGGACCTTAGCAGTGAGGGAATTCAGACTGAGGTTCCAGATGCGGCTGTGCATTGTCCCCTGCGTCTCTTTCTGTGCCTTGTGGGGCTCCAGCAAAAATCTTCAGGCCTCTCCCCTTCTGCGGGCGGGATGTGGGTCTATGCAGGCACATAATCAGAAAAACTTGGTCTCCAGCGCCGTGGATAGTGCTCTGTGGCACCACTGTGGTTACTCTTCACACACGGAGCCACCCTCTGTGCCAGGGTTGCATTGAGGAGTTCCCAATCCCAGGTTTCCAGGCCTCACACCATCCACTCTCAACACCTAAGCGGTGGGGGGAAATAAACTCTTCACCTTTGAGAACACAAAGTCGTGATCCCTTGCTACTTTCATCTCTTTTTAAGAGGAGCTAAGCAGTTTCTCCTGAAGGCTGAGGAATCTGCCGTGTTCCTGTGGCCGGCCAGATGCTCAGAGCCAGGCATCCCTGTCATCCTCAGCTTACAGAAGGGGGGGGGGGAGGCGCACGGGTAGCACGGTAAACAACATAACAAGCAAGGATTTTCTTGAGCATAATTTCCTAGCGCTTCACAATTTTCTAATTTCTAAAACCGGTGCAACGCCATTTATCTGGACTATGGTGGGGCTCTTTAAATGCCCTTCGGGGAGGCGGCCTGCTTGATTGTTAGTGCCCACTGATGCCTGTCTGGGGAGAAGAGTACCATAGACCTTCGGATGATCTGCGGGATTGATCTCCGCGCTCCACAGCGCTCCACAGCGCTCCACAGCCTCCGAACTCAGTCAGGCTGGTGGAAATTTGCCGGGCTGGGGAGTTTGGGACATCTTTCTCATCTGAAAAACGGACTAAAGCATTCTTTTAAGCGGAGTAACTTTGAGCTTCAATTAAAAAAAAAAAAAATATGGCCTTGGTCCTCTTCGCTCTACGAGGCCCAGTGCCTGCCGCACACATCGCAAAATTCGGGGAGTTAGTTTGAGAGCTCTGCTAAGGCACCTTCACTCCCTGAAAGAACTCAAATCCAGAAATCTAACTTCAGCATCGTCAACACCCGTTATTACACGCAGACAAGGCATTAAACCTCCTCAGACTTCAGTTTAGTAAATTTTAAAGAAAGGTCTCCCTTTTTAAAAATTAGTTATGATTACACCAGATGACATGAGACAATCCTGAAAGGACCCGAGTCCCAACACCAGATTCCTTTTTATTAATATTGTTATTATTCATATACTCTGTGACCGACCTTAAGCCAATCGCCATCAGGCAGCCTCTGGTCTCAGAATTGCATGTCTGTTGTGCCATGAGCGGAAAAAACCACACGTGCGGGGTCAGCGCACTCTCTTTAATGGAAAGGGGGTGTCTCATTTCTTACAGCAACAGGTAAAAACATAAATACGGGTGGGTGGGCGGCGATGGCAAGGCAGCCAAGGGCCCGGGCTCCGGGCCCAGGCTCAAGGAAGGGAGGCTGGATATCAGGCTCCGAGCGCTCAACTCTCAGCCCCAACGGACCAGTGTTCTGCCTGTTGAGGGTGCTTTGAGTACACTCCTGGGGCCGCAGCTAAGGCATCGCTCACCGAAGGTCACAGTAGAAACGACACAGAGGCCATAACAACGTTCCAGGACCTCCCCCGGAGTGAATGCAAAATCAGCGGCGCACGAGTTCCCTCCCTGCCCTTGAGAGTCGGTGCCCCTCCGGGATAGGTCAGGGGCGACCCAACAGGGTCCCTTCCCTACCAGGCTCGGATACCGTGCAGCGTGGACACCCCCGAGTTGCCCTGCGGGATCCCTGGGCTCTGCACCGTGTTCAAGTCCCCCACGCCGAAGTTCACGAAGTTGTTATTGGCGGCGGCCGTGGCTGGCTGCGCGGGGGGCGGGCCTGCGGGGTAAGCGGCGGCGCAGCTGTACCCCGGGCTGCAGGCCGCACCGCCGTACCCCGGGTAGGCGGGATAGGCGTTATAGCCATAGGCGTTGAGGCCCACGCCGTAAGCGGGCGCGTAGGGCGCCGAGTCCCCCAGGCAAGGCTTGCCATCGCGTACCAGCACCGGCACGGCGATCCTGCGCGCGGGCGGCGGCGGCGGCGGGGGCAGCCCCACCAGCTCCAGAGTCTGGTCCTGCCGCTGCCGCTTGCATTTGTAGCGCCGGTTCTGGAACCAGATCTTGACCTGCGTGGACGTGAGTTTCAGCACGCTGGCCAGCTGGTCTCGCTCAGGAGCCGAAAGGTACCGCTGCTGCTTGAAGCGTCGCTCCAGCTCATAGACCTGGGCCTGCGAAAAGAGCACCCGCGGCTTCCGTCGCCTCCGCGCTCGGGGCCGCTCAGCACCGTCCGCCTCGGGCTTGTCCAGCTCCACCGCCTTCTGTAGCGCGCACAGCTCTGCGGGGACAGAGAGCAGAGACGCGGGTCAGAGCCGAGCGCCCGCTGGGAGCAGGCCCTCAACTGCCAGGAGCCCTGTGTGGCTACAGTTTACTATGCCGAGTGTAACCAACACTCGGGCTTTCTCCTGACGTTCGCCTCGTATTTGTTGAACTTCTACTGTGTGTGCGCCAGGCACGGTCCTAGGCGCAGGAGGGGAAGTTCATACCCATATGAGAGATAGTAGCCAAGAGCTCGGGCTGCAAAGTAAAAACTGAATGATGTGCAGGGGTGAATCATTAGGGCTACTTTGGTTTCAGGGTTAAAAGGAGGGAGACCGAGGCCTAACCTGGAGAGCCAAACACATTGACTTAAAATTCTGATCAAAGATTTGCGTTGTCAGGGGCCTCAGAACCTGCTCTGCCCCGCGGCTTGGATTCAAATGAGTAGAAATCAATTCTAGCTGCCATTCTCTCCCTCCTGCGTTGGCTTCTTTCTGCTCCCAGCTCAACCTACGAATCCTTCCGGCTCACAGCGGACGGTCGCGCCTGACCTCCGGAGTGCGCCCTGCGCAGGGGCCTGCCCAGTAGCTCTTTACCGTGGGGGCCAATCTGGCCACGCTCCCCAGCCATCTCCACTGCCTGGCGGCTCCAGTCCCGCAGCATTTTGTTCTACCACAGAACCCCACGGCCCTGGCGCCCTCGGCGCTGGCCGCCCCTGAAGTTGGGCTGGAAAAATAATGCTGCTGAGGCAGACTCCTGAGGATCCAGGATATCCCACTTTAAAATAAAAACCAAGCCCTTTCTTCCCAGAGACTAGACACTCATTGCACAAAGGAGGAAAGGTCTAAGAAAACCGGAACAGGAGTAACAACAGAAGATTCAGGACCCTCCTCCAATAGTAAACAAAATTGTGCCTGGTGTACAGAGTTTGTGTTTAGCAGTTTTCATCAGAGTCTCAAAAAACCTCTCCACAAATCCAAACGCTTGCCCAAGCTCCAGATGTAGTGAACACTTAGGTCTCTCAATACGATAAACTTACCACTCAACTTCGTAACAGACTCCGGAGCAGGGCCCAAGCCCCTGGCCTTTGTTAGGCTGACTTTTTTGTTGTTTTGTTTCTCGCTTTTGATCATCTCAGTCTGACATTGTATCCAAATCTCCAATAGGCGTGGGGCGCCAGGGCCTCCAGACAACCTAGCTCCTCATACACAGAACCCCCTCCCCCTGTCCCCGGACCTCGGAGCGCACGTCTTCACCGCGAGGGCCTGGGCTTTTCGGCGATGTGGTTTTGGAACAAAGCGACTCGACTTGGGAGCCCAGAGACCACAGGGAAGGTAAAGTAGAGGGTTTTGTGTTTCGTCCTCACCTTTCTTATCGGCCCGAGGGTCCTTGGCAGGGTCGGGGTCGCCGTAAGCACGCGGGTAGAATGCGGGTGTGGTGGGAAAGGCAGGGACGCACTTAGCGGGCGAAGGCGCGGGGCCCAGCTCGGCGCGCAGCTCCGGGAGGCCGGGAGCTGCAGCCTCGGGCCCCGCGTAGGCCTCGGGCTTGAAGGCCGCCAGCATGCAGGAGGCCGGCGCCAGGGTGGCCTCCAGGCGCGCCGAGAGTTCCCCGGCGGCCAGGCTGCGTTGTTGCTGCTCCAGGTTCAGGATGTCTTTGACAGAGAACGGCGTGGGTGTGAGCGCGGGGCTGGGGAACATGGTGGCAGCACCCGTCTTACAGCGCCAGGTGGGCGGCACAGAGCGGCGCTGCCCACGGCCCCTGGCAGCCCCGCTGCATGGTGCCCGCTGCCGCACGCGCACCCGCCTTCCTGCTGGGGATGTGGCGGGGCAGCAGGTAGCGCTGAGCACAAGGGGCCAGAGAGGCGGGACCAGTCCAGAGGAGGGGGCTCTCAGCCTGCCATTGGGCCTGGGGCGCGATGACAGTAGCGATGAGCAGCTTCGTGTCACCTAATATAGTCATACAACTTTAAAAAAAAATGGGCTCAGTTTTTTAAAGGGGCCACCACACATTTGGAAAGCTCTCCTTTTTTCCCCTGTAGCCTGAGTTTTGTTCCTAGAATGAGCCTGAAAAAGACACTAAGGCACATTTACAGCAAAGAGCTAGAGTGGTTTTTAGTTTAGTTTAGTTTTTTTTTCTTATTCTGACTCTCAACTCTGCTTGGAGATGGATGGGTCTAGGATTTCAATAAATGCTTCTCAGCACGAAAACCTAAAGAAGACAGTAAAGGTCTGGGTAGGGAGCTTGAGAAGGTTATTTACAGGGATCTTTAAGGCTGCAGCACACGGGTTGAATGGGAGGAGAGACATGGGTGAAAGGATTTGCTCTGGATTGGTGGCTGAAGGTAGAGATCTGGACAATGTTGGGGTTCTTTCTGGCTTGACTTACAGGTCTAGAAATATCCAGTAGACATTTAAGTGTCAGGTTCTCAGGTGGCAAAGGCCAAGAGAAAGAGCAGGGGTGGTTGTGGAGTGGGAGATGGTCAGCTCTTTACAATAGTGGGAGTTGTACACTGCACAATTGCCAGTCCTTTTCCAGGGAAACCATCTTCCCTTAATAATGAAACATGAAAATTCCCAAGTGGCCTCCAACTCCTGGTGGCCTAGTTTCTTCTTCCAGAGTCCACCTTTCCTGCTTCCGTCTCTCTTCTCCACTGTCTCTGCTTAGCAGGAAGGCCCTCAGGTCTCAGCCAGCCCAAGGTCTCAGGGCCCCAGCCCAGGTTTAGAAGTCTTTCTTCTTTGGGCCTGACTGGGCCAGGATTCCTGTGAGGCCTCTGGGCCCAGTTCTGGGATGGACACCCTGGCAGCTGTCCTGATACATGGAGGGAGGAGGAAGAGTAAGCAGAGTAATCATTTTCCAGTGTCATTCAAACCAGGATGGTGGGCCGTGGCCAATCTGACACAGTTTAAGGAGTGCAAGCTGGGGGGCCAGCTCCTGCCTGGGGCCAGCTTATTCCTAACATCCTTGGAGAGGTTTGATGAAAGCTCTGCTTGTTCCATCGCAGCCCCAACATTATATAGAGAAGCTCTATCCTGCATAGATTTCAGGAAGGTGGGGTTGGTGGAAGAGTTCTAGATTAAAGCCATCTGTTTTACCTGTTCACAGACCTTGGCTTCTAGTTAATGGGAAAGAGGTGATTTCCCAGAAACCTACAGAGAGGCAGGCAGGGCGAGGAGATGTGCCCAGATTGTGATATTGAGGTGTTGAAGACACTTGTTGCTTCTTTCAGGGAGAGAGTTGAGGCCTTGGGAAGGCCGTGTGGGACCAAAGACTAAATCAAGTTGCTGCTAGGGTCCAAGGCTCCAGATTTGTAGAGGAAATGAGAAAAAGAAGGGATGAAGAGGCCTCTGTCCAGAATGCACATCTTGGGATGTGAAAGAGGGAAAGTGAGCCCAGGGTGCTAATAAAGTCAGGTCTAGCCCTAGTGTGGAGACCTGCTCTCCAGGGCCTGGGGTCTAGAGAGCCCTGCATGTGGTCCATACTGTACCCCAGGCACTTGCCTGACCTGGATGGCTGCCTTACCAGGCCCGAAGGCACCAGCAGCCTGGCCCAGGTCTCAGCTGCTGCAGGAATCTCAGGTGGAGCTTTTGGACCAGGACGTTGTATACAGACTCTGGGATTGATTGTTAGCCCAGTCTGTGAACGGTGCCTTCTCCTGAAAGTGGATGCTTCTCAGAGGTCGCAGGAATTCTCTGCCTCCCTTTGAGGCCCCTCGATGTCGGACTGGCCATCCATCGGGGGATTCTCCTCTGTCTTTTTTCTCTGGACTTTTGGCCAAGATATGATACTGTTATTGCTCCCAACTAACCCGTATTAGGGGCCTACCTTGTCTTTGAAGGTTGTTTTCGGGGGATGAGACATGAGGCCTATCTCTGAGGCGGTGACGTCTGGCAAATGAGCCACATCCGATTCAATTAAATGTCCTGCTGAAAGGCGCTGGGAGAGAGGGTCCTGGGAGCACTGTTAAGTGAATGGGCTGGCCGCTTGGCTCTTGATGACAGTTTGAAAGATTAGTAGGAGCAGACGCCTGAAATATTACCGTTTAATGGGGGACATCGAGGCTGCATCCGGGATTCCTGCTTTCAGGATTTTTAAGAAAGGGATAGTTCTGGAGGAAGAAAAAAAAAAAAAACCAAAACTACTAGCAGTTTCCTCTGCAAACCTATGCTGTGAAGATTTATCACCTTCTTATTGAGTAAGGGATTCCCAGGGTTGTGGGTCAGGTGTCATGAAAAGTGGAGGAAGAAAACTGTCCCTATTTGGACAATGTCAGCGACTTCACCCCCTATGCCCTCTGTGAATCCGGTAATAATTCCTCTTAGTTCTAAAAAAGGCGTTGGTGTTGCAGAAGAGAGGAAACAGGGGCCAAACCGGATAAATATATGTTGAATCCAAATTGAGGGTCAACTCCTGGTGGTCTTCACGGAGAAATATCTAAGGGCAATTTCTAACTTTGCTTTCCTTACTTTCTGAGTGGGTGGGGGGAAGGAGTTTTTGCTTTGTTTCACTAGAAGTTGCAATAATGAAGGGAGAATCCCTAAAAACCCCTTACCCCCGCCCCCCATTTTCCTTCTCAGGAGTAGTAGACTCAACCTGCCCCCCTCTCTAAGCCGCACTATGACCAGACTAGCAGGACAGTCTTCAAAGAGGAAGAATAAAAAATCTACCCATCTATCTCCTTGCCCTTTAAAGAGTTGGTGTTCTAAGACTAGCCAAATTCCAGGGCAACTCTGGACACATAAAATATTATTAATTGAAAAGAAATCGGCACTGCCGAGCTTGACACCTCCCCCCCCCATCCCTGCAATCAGCAGAGCTAGCCGCAAAGGTATATATGATTAATTGAAAGATAAGCTGGAACTATCACCGGGAATGTCATTAATGCGCCGGGGAGACGTCCATTGGAGACAGGCGGCGTTATCCACGGCTTTATCTTCAACAACGCCTCGCTCTCGGCCTGCGCTGGGGAAACAGATGGGGGTTTCTGTCTGGGACGCTAGCCCCGTGTTTATATTTTGGGAAGAATCACAACTCGTGGGAGTCCCTAGCTGGCCCCCTGATAAATGAACATTAGCACTTTTTCGGACTACTGTATCAACAAAAGGGCTGCGGCGCGGCAATAATTGGCGAGAAAGCAAACAGAGGGCCGAGAGCGCGCCTCTGCTCTTCGTCCGGCTGATGGATGAGCGGCCGAGGCTGCGGGCCGCGCTCCCGGATTCCGGCGGTGCGGCCGGTCCTGGGGCCCCTCCGCCGCCGGGCTTTGCTTCCTGGCTCCGGAAGAGCATCGGCAACGCGGAGGCGGCACCCCTTCTTTCCTAACGCACCATTTAATTCCAGTGGCTCGGTCGGCAGCAGATCCACCACAGGCTTGCACGTCTGCCATCTCACCCTCTTATTCCAATGGCACGGCAGAGGAGAATGGGACTCGGAGAGGTGAAGCCACTTGGTCAAGGTCATGCAGGCAGGAAATGCCCATGCTGGGATTCGAACATACAGCAAACTCCATAATTGAGACTATTCCCCCTCACCCCCCATCCCGTGGTGTATCGCTGCCTCTTAGAGTTACTTAACCAGAGAGGAAACAAGACATGCCCTTGCTGTTGGTTATGTATACCAGATTCCCCACAACCTTCACCAACAAGAGAGGATTCATTTTAGAGCGAGGAGAGGAACAAAACAAAGCAATTTCAAGTTCTCTCCCCTTCCTACTTCTGCCTTTTTTTTTAAAACCACCTTTTCTTGATAACAGCTTTATTGACAGATAACATACATACCATATATTATAATATCTTCTTTTAAAGTTTACAAGTTAATACATATAATCTATTCTTTAACGTTTACAATTTAATGATTTTTCATACTCATATATGCTATATTCATAGCAAGGAACCATGTAAATGTCACCACAATCTATTTTAGAACGTCATTCTCCAAAGGACACCCTACCATTTAATTATCACTCTCAACCTCCCTCCCACCCTCTCACCTTTAGTTCCAGGCAACCTCTAATCTAGTTTTTGTCTTACCAAAACCAAACAAAGCAGGACAAAACAACCCCAACCCATCCAGCCTGAGTTAATGTACACTCCTAATGACCCTATAACACAGAGTGGAGCTGTTCCAAAGCATTTCCAAGTCTGTAATATTTACAGCTACTGCTATGGTGGGTTTGAACAAATACAGATTTTTTTTTTAAACAGACTAGTTTATTTACAAAATTCAAATACATTGTTTTCCAGAAGATTCTTTTCCATCACCCCTCAACCCTCTACCCATCAAACTGTTAACTTCATGATTAATCCCCCCCTCGCTGCACACCCTCAAAAAATACAGAATTTTTGAAGGACACTGCTTTTTTTTTTTTTTTTTTTAGGGGACAGAGTTCTTTAGCTATTGTGCCACCAAGGAACTTTCTTTTGTCTCCATGTTGTTGTTATGTGCCTTCGAATTGCAACCAACCCGTAGTTCACCCACCTGCGAATTCTCAGAGGCTGCAAACTGCCAGAGAGGAGATTGCTCATCTTTCTCCTGAGGACCAGCTGGTGGACTCAAAACTGCTTGCTTTTTGGGTTGGCAGCACAACTCCTTATCCCCATAGGCCATCAGAGTTCCCTCTGTCTTTATAGATTTGGCTGTTATGGGCATTTCATGTAAATGTGATTGTGCAACAAAAGCCTTTTGTATCTGGCTTCTTTCACAT